CGCCTAAACTTTCACGAACTCGTACGCGAGGCTCAAATGTGCTTGAGGGTTGATACTGCGGTCCCGTGGGGAACACACTAGCAAAATTCCAGCTTTAAAGATTGCGTGATTGGCGAGTTGAAACACCCGGACAGACGCGCACGCACACACACACACACGCACACACACACACACACACACACACACACACACACACACACTGACTGGGTCGTTGCAATATGCGTTTTTGCTGCCTGTTGCAGCGCCTTAGCGCTGCACGGCAAAAACGCATAAAAAGCAAAATCACAGAATTGAAGACTGTAACCAAAAGCAAAAGCAAACAAAAACTAAGCTTATACGAGTGGGATTTGTCTTACAAAAACTCGTCTTCAGTAAGTGGTCCCCGCATTCATGAAGTTTATGCTTAGGTCAAGCTCAGGGCAAATAAGTTCGACAGGATTTATTGAAGCTTGTGCTTAGGTGAAGCTGAGGGCAAATAAGTTCGACTGAATTTACTGAAGCTCATACTTAGGTGATGCTGAGGGCAAATAAGTCCGACTGGATTACACAAGAATTGCATACAATTTCGCAGTGTTGCCTCTCGCAGCTCGTAACTGTGCATAACAGTTATACCTTTGTTCTTTTTTCTTCAAAATCGCACAGGAGCAAAGGCTGACTTCATCCTTAGGCACCCATTCTACCCTGTTTTTGTCTACTTCATGGAACTTATTCGCTTTCAGCCTCACCTAAGTATCAGTTTCATAAGTCTACTACTGATGACGGATTTTTATTGATCAGTTTCCACTAACCTTCTTTCGCTTTTATTCATAAAGTCAGATTTGCTTTAATTTACTTTATTTGTGTGTGCAGTGTTGTCTTTTTCTCTTTACTGCTGTCTCCAGTTCTTGCCTCGAGTTCTTGATTTGCATCCTCGTTCCCTTTCTCTACCCTGTCCTAAATCCTGCTAGCAAACAAGATATAGTCCCTTCTCCATCCTTGCTATGAAATCACTGTTTAAGCAAACAGTATTTACCTTTCCCCACTCCTGGTATCTACGGTTAAAACCAGGAACACACTTCCTCATCTTCCTCATCCTTTTCATTCATCATTGCTCCCCTTCTCCCCTCCAAATGTACATTACTTAATCAACCGGCAAAGGACCTACCCCGTTTAGTCCTTATATTCGCTTATCCTAGCCCCCTTCCCCCACCTCGAACGAAACCCGCCATATGTCACCTCCACTTCCATCTGCTACATTTAAACTGCCGCCATCGGCCGTGGGGCAGCCTTACCAGCCGTCGGGAGGAAAATTTTTTGCAGCTTGTATATGAAACGAGCCGAGCCAGGTTATCGTAATTGCCCTGGGTAGTGTCACCCAGCGCACGACGGCTGGGACGCATGCTTCGGGAGGAGGTAGGGGGATGCTCCGTGGAGGGCTTGACGTGAGCAGGGGTGGTGGCGGGTGGGTGCCACGATGCACCTGCGAGGGCACAGATTGGGGCAGAGTAGAGGAAAGGAACAAGGACGCTGGTGAGGAGTTCGGAATGATTAGTCCTGTTCACCCTCAACTTCATAAATACGGAAACCCCTTACTGAAGACGGGTTTTTGTAAGACAGTTTTCACTCACATAAGTTCAATTTTTATTTGTTCTTGCTTTTTTAGCTTTATTCACAGCTTCCGGTTCTTTGGTTCTGCTCTTTTTCGTCTTGTTTTTTTTTTCATAAGTTCAGGTTTGCTTTAATTTACTTTTCTGTGTATTGCTGTGCTGTCTGTTCGTCTTTATTGCTGTCTCCAGTTCTTGCCTCAAATCCCTGACTAGTACCCTTTTCCCCACCTCTATTCTGCCCCCAAATCCTACCTTCAGAGCTGCATCTGGGCACCTGCCAACCGGCGCCCCCAAACAAATCCAGACCTCTCTCCTCCGCTCATCACCCCCAACCACGCGACCCAGCCACCGAGCGTTGAGTAGCGCTACCCAGGGCTCGCTGGACAAGTACCAAGCTGTGGCGATAAGTGACACCGCGAAATAGCATTAGCAGCCGAGCCGACTTGTAGTAACTGCCCACTGAGTTTGGGTTTGAGTTATGGGAGTGGTGGTGCTGAGTTTTTATGCGTTTTGTGCTGCAACAATTGCACAAAGCGCATATTGTGTATGTCTTTGTGTGTATTCCGAGAGTGCATTTTCCCGAAGGGTTTCAACTCGAGAACTGGAGAAGCTAGG